GAATTTGAAGATTTAAGTTTTATTTGGACGAGGAATATTCTTCTAAAATCTGGGCCTCCCAACTTTGCTGGTTTTCGAGTTAGCATTTTCGCGCCAAAACTTTCACAGGGCCGCACGTGACCTAGGAGCATACTTGGGGGCTGGGTTTGGATTTTTAAGTTGTATGCAGACTGAGAATATCCCTTTAAAATTTTAGTCTCCCAGATTTTCTGATTCCCGAATTAGTCATTTGCCTACCAAAAAAGTTTCACGGGGCCGTACGTGAGAACCATGTATGACTGGGGATTAAATTTGATAGGTTTATGCCGTACCTGTGCTTGGAACATTCCCTGAAAATTTCTGCCTCCCAGCTTTTCTGGCTCCCGAGTTAGCCATTTTTCCGCCAAAAAATTTCACGGGACCATACGTGAGAACCACGGATGACTGAGGGCTGAATTTAATAAATTTAAGTCGTATATGGGCTGGGGACATTCTCTGAAAATTTCAGCCTTCCAGCTTTTCTGGTATCCGAATTAGCAATTTTCCTCCTAAAACTTTCATACGCCCTTACGTGAGTACCATGCACACTTGAGGGCTGGATCTGAAATATTTAAGTTGTACTTCGACAGGGAATATTCCCGTAAAATTTCAGCCTTTCAGCCTTCCTAGTTGCCGAGTTAGCAATTTTTCCCCCTAAAACTTTCACACGCTCTAACGTGAGTACCACGCATACCTGGGGGCTGAATTTGAAACCCCTAGCCAATACATGTACACGTTTCCTGAAGACACATTTCCTATGTCAAAATAATAGTTTTTCGCTCTTGGCCGATAAAGGCAAAGGCAGTAGAAAGATTTGACAAAAATTTATTAATAAGCTTAATTTATTAATAAATTTTTTGGTTTAATAACCCAAATTTGAGATTGGCCACGATCGTCACCAGAGTAACCACTGGTTCTAAGTAGCTAAAAAAGTTGCAGCTGTTTGGCTGATTAACCATGCTATGAACTAATAGCTATACCGGCTTTGCAACCAATAGCTATACTCGGCTTCATGTTATTGAATATAATAATTTAAATTATACAAAAAAGTAATGGAGGGAAGGTGTGGCATCTTGGCAGATGGTTAATGGATCACCTCGGCCAGTGAAACATCGGGACTCGTCGTTTACCGTGCCAATCATGGATGATCGATCACCACTACGGTGCCTCCATCTTGGACTGGTCGCTATATAAAGAGTTATTTCAGTGATTGGTGGAACCTGATCAGCTACTTTTTTTTATTACACCAACTGTGTCCAAACCAGGAAAAAAGTGAGGGAAAAGAAGACGCTTTTTGAGTCTCCTCAAATCTCAAAAGTGAGGGTACTTCAACTTCTGTCAGGTTTCTATCCGGCTACAGCGCACTTTGTCTTCGCTTATTTATAAAAATGTTGATGGAGGGGAATGGATTTAAGGTGATAAGTTAATTGCCAAGAGCATAGGGATATCGGTGTTACGATTCCTTGTTAATGATGTTACTGGGATATTTCCGCTATGAACACTACGTTTTGAGACTCATCGATCCTGGTCTTTGCACTACAAGTTGGTTCCTATCACCTGTTGGATGTGTGCGCGATATCTCTTCGGAAGATGCTCAAGTGTTCATCGACTTTTCTGCTGGTACCACTCATTAATGCGCTCGCTTACGAATTGTCAGAACGCCCCGTCCACTGGATTTTCCTTTTACGTTAGTAACGATACAACTCATCCGCGTAGTGTTTGGTTGCTTATGTGGTCTCTTTAAAAAAGTTCGAGCATAATTGGTAACTTCGCTATTTCCGCTGTGCGGAGTGAGACGGCTGCAACCGTGAAGAAATATAAGTAGACTGTGAAAAGTAGCCAAGAAAGTGCTCCTGGCACATTTGATCTGCTGAACTGCACTAAGGAAATAAGCACAGACGCATTGGTCTGAAACTGCTGGAAAGTAGCTGACGGCAGAAAAGAGTAAAATATGAAACGTTCCTTTTATGCGTTTTTGCCTATATGCAAATTGCAAAAACGCATATTGAGACGACCCCGTCTGTGTGTGTGTATGTATGTGTGTATGTGTGTGTATGTTTGTGTGTGTGTGTGTGTGTGTGTATATGTGTGTTGTGTCCGGGTATTTGTCCGGGTATATGTGTCCGGGTACTGTCCGGGTATTTCAACTCGGCAACCAAGCAAGTTCCAGCGCCGAGATTTTGCTGATGGGTACCCCGGCCAAGTACCACCCAAGAATCGCGGTACCATCCCTCTCGCACGTCTGGGCCCCGCGTACGAGAGGGGGAAAGTTTTGGCG